GGTAGCCACAACAACATGAGGTAGCCACAACAACATGAGGTAGCCACAACATGAGGTAGCCACAACATGAGGTAGCCACAACATGAGGTAGCCACAACATGAGGTAGCCGCAACAACATGAGGTAGCCACAACATGAGGTAGCCACAACAACATGAGGTAGCCACAACATGAGGTAGCCACAACATGAGGTAGCCACAACATGAGGTAGCCACAACAACATGAGGTAGCCCCAACATGAGGTAGCCACAACAACATGAGGTAGCCACAACAACATGAGGTAGCCACAACATGAGGTAGCCACAACAACATGAGGTAGCCACAACATGAGGTAGCCACAACATGAGGTAGCCACAACATGAGGTAGCCACAACAACATGAGGTAGCCCCAACATGAGGTAGCCACAACAACATGAGGTAGCCACAACAACATGAGGTAGCCACAACATGAGGTAGCCACAACATGAGGTAGCCACAACATGAGGTAGCCACAACATGAGTTAGCCACAACATGAGTTAGCCACAACAACATGAGGTAGCCTCAACATGAGGTAGCCACAACATGAGGTAGCCACAACATGAGGTAGCCACAACATGAGGTAGCCACAACATGAGGTAGCCACAACATGAGGTAGCCACAACAACATGAGGTAGCCCCAACATGAGGTAGCCACAACAACATGAGGTAGCCACAACAACATGAGGTAGCCACAACAACATGAGGTAGCCACAACAACATGAGGTAGCCACAACAACATGAGGTAGCCACAACAACATGAGGTAGCCACAACATGAGGTAGCCACAACATGAGGTAGCCACAACAACATGAGGTAGCCCCAACATGAGGTAGCCACAACATGAGGTAGCCTCAACATGAGGTAGCCACAACATGAGGTAGCCACAACATGAGGTAGCCACAAGATGAGGTAGCCACAACAACATGAGGTAGCCACAACATGAGGTAGCCCCAACATGAGGTAGCCCCAACATGAGGTAGCCCCAACATGAGGTAGCCCCAACATGAGGTAGCCCCAACATGAGGTAGCCACAACATGAGGTAGCCACAACATGAGGTAGCCACAATATGAGGTAGCCAAAACATGAGGTAGCCACTGATGACAGAATGGAATGTAACCACCGAGAGCAACACTGGAGTGTAAGCAGTTTTCGCAAGATCGTGACCCCTTGACCTAGCAATGAACGGTCCCACGACAAAGCTGTCCGTGCTCCAACAAGGGATGTGTACGTTTGGCCACGGTTAACTTCAGCCGGGCCGGAAGGCTGGGTCTAGTTAGCTCAAGGTACAAACACACGGGACAGGCAAGGCTCGCGTCCGGCCGTTTAACGCGCTACACAAGGTCGTTCAGCACACGAGGTGAAACGAGGGCGAACTGTTACATCAATCCGTCTATCATTTCACGATCAACAAACCCGTCGTGCGGACTCTCTGATTGGTCAACAACGGTGTACGCCACGAGAGGCCTGCACAGTCCGCTGCTGGGATGACGTCACAGGGTGGACACAGCTGACCCGAACACAGATTCGCGAACTGCCGACCCCTGTACCGGATGTACACAGGCCCAGACAGGGCATAGCACGACCACTGACCACTCCACCAGACAGACCATAGCACGACCATTGACCACTCCACCAGACAGGCCATAGCACGACCACTCCACCAGACAGGCCATTGCACAACCACTGACCACTCCACCAGACAGACCATAGCACGACCACTGACCACTCCACCAGACAGGCCATTGCACAACCACTGACCACTCCACCAGACAGACCATAGCCACGACCACTGACCACTCCACCAGACAGGCCATAGCACGACCACTCCACCAGACAGGCCATTGCACAACCACTGACCACTCCACCAGACAGACCATAGCCACGACAACTGACCACTCCACCAGACAGGCCATGGCACGACCACTGACCACTCCACCAGACAGGCCATAGCACGACCACTCCACCAGACAGGCCATTGCACAACCACTGACCACTCCACCAAACAGACCATAGCACGACCACTCCACCAGACAGGCCACAGCACGACCATTGACCATTCCACCAGACAGACCATAGCACGACCACTGACCACACCACCAGACAGACCGTACCGCTATTTATAACACAACCACCAGTATCACCGCTTAAAAATAGACTAGATAAACACACACATACACACACTAGGCATGTTATGAATACAACTTCCTTTCGTTACCGTGCTGGCTAATAAAGTTACCACTGTAATTAGAAATTGGGACAATTAGTGTGTGTGTGTGTGTGTGTAAATATCAACAAAGCAGTTCTCACTCGAGCGCCCCGTGTGCACACATTTCCCTCTATGCTCACACGAATTAACGGAAACTGTACACTTCCTAAACTGACACTAATAAGCCCCCCCCCCCTCTTCCCAGTCCACTTGAGAAATTCATTACTCAAGACCAGCAAAATGGCGGCTGTTCGTTTGGGGAGTTGAGGCTAGGGAGTTGGCCAAGTTAACAGCAAGTGGCCAAGTTAACAGCAAGTGTCCAAGTTAACAGCAAGTGGCCAAGTTAACAGCAAGTGGCCAAGTTAACAGCAAGTGGCCAAGTTAACAGCAAGTGGCCCAGTTGAAAATAATAAAAAGGGAGTTCGATCTCGCATTTCAAGTTATGTTTTAAGAAATGGGTTCTACGTGTCAAAATAGTTTTAGAAAAATGCTCAAGTTGGCAAAAACAATCAAGAAACGTTACTTGAACTACTAACACCCCCTCCCCCCACGGAGAAAAATGTCTGAAGGAAACACCATTAAAATTTGAAACAGTTACAGCCTGTATCTGGCACTGAACAAATAGTGCATAAAAATCTAAATATATCTGTAACATAAAGACATACGTGTAGTCCTTCATACACAGTGTCACCATGTGCAGATACAATTTACATGTCACCACATCAACAGTGTCACCACATCAACACAGTGTCACCACATCAACAGTGTCACCACATTAACAGTGTCACCACATCAACACTGTCACCACATCACAGTGTCACCACATCAACAGTGTCCCTACATCAACAGTGTCACCACATCAACAGTGTCACCACATCAACACAGTGTCACCACATCATCACAGTGTCACCACATCATCACAGTGTCACCACATCATTATAGTGTTGTCACATCATCAGTGTCACCACATCAACACAGTGTCACCACATCAACACAGTGTCACCACATCATCAACAGTGTCACCACATCAACACAGTGTCACCACATCATCAACAGTGTCAATACATCAACAGTGTCACTACATCCTCACAGTGTCTCCACATCATTATAGTGTTGTCACATCATCAGTGTCACCACATCAACACAGTGTCACCACATCAACAGTGTCACCACATCAACACAGTGTCACCACATCAACACAGTGTCACCACATCAACAGTGTCACCACATCAACACAGTGTCACCACATCAACAGTGTCACCACATCAACAGTGTCACCACATCAACAGTGTCACCACATCATTATAGTGTCACCACATCAACAGTGTCACCACATCAACACAATGTCACCACATCATCACAGTGTCACCACATCATCACAGTGTCACCACATCATCATTGTCACCACATCATCACAGTGTCACCACATCAATACAGTGTCACCACATCATCAACAGTGTCACCCCATCATCAGTGTCACCACATCAACACAGTGTCACCACATAAACACAGTGTCACCACATCATCACAGTGTCACCACATCATCAGTGTCACCACATCAACACAGTGTCACCACATCAACACAGTGTCACCACATCATCACAGTGTCACCACATCATCACAGTGTCACCACATCATTATAGTGTTGTCACATCATCAGTGTCACCACATCATCACAGTGTCACCACATCAACACAGTGTCACCACATCATCACAGTGTCACCACATCAACAGTGTCACCACATCATCACAGTGTCACCACATCAACAGTGTCACCACATCAACAGTGTCACCACATCAACAGTGTCACCACATCATTATAGTGTCACCACATCATTATAGTGTCACCACATCAACACAATGTCACCACATCATCACAGTGTCACCACATCATCACAGTGTCACCACATCAACACAGTGTCACCACATCAACACAGTGTCACAACATCCCCCCCCTTCATACTGTCATTGACCACACCACTTTATATTGTACATCATGGCCCAATAACATTAGAGTTAATACAAGCAGTTCCAGTTACTGTCGTGTTATATTAACCCACACACAGCAGGAATGTGATATCAACCCACACACACAGCAGGAAGGTGATATCAACCCACACACATCAGGGATGTGATATCAACCCACACACACCAGGGATGTGATATCAACCCACACACACCAGGAATGTGATATCAACCCACACACAGCAGGAATGTGATATCAACCCACACACACCAGAGTGGTGATATCAGCCAACACACACCAGGAATGTGATATCAACCCACACGTCAGGAATGTGATATCAACCCACACACAGCAGGAATGTGATATCAACCCACACACACCAGGGAGGTGATATCAGCCAACACACACCAGGAATGTGATATCAACCCACACGTCAGGAATGTGATATCAACCCACACACAGCAGGAATGTGATATCAACCCACACACACCAGGGAGGTGATATCAGCCAACACACTCCAGGAATGTGATATCAACCCACACGTCAGGAATGTGATATCAACCCACACACACCAGGAATGTGATATCAACCCACACACACACACATCAGGGAGGTGATATCAACCCACACACACCAGGAATGTGATATCAACACACACACACACACCAGGAATGTGATACTAACCCCCACATACAGCAAGTAGTGATACAAAAATTCACGATCCTGTGATCTAGCTGCAGTGGGTGATGGTACGGGGATCACATGACCTAGCAGGGTGAAGCAACAAGTGGAGCAGAAAGATGCCACTCACCTTGGAGCCTATCTGGTTACCACACTGTCCGGCCTGGACGTGAACTATCTCCCTCATGTCTGCTAGCCACTGGCCTAGATCTTGTTGACACACCAGAGAAAAACACAACACACTTGCAACGACAGACTCGCGTGATACGTCCTGTTATTTAGTCTAACACACGTCTCGTGTGTGTGTGTGACTCCCTCGTCTGCTCCTCGACTGGCGAACTCCTGTGTTGAAAGGTTTTACAGTAATGTTACAAAATCGCGAGAGTAATGTAAAACTTGCAAGAGCTAAGTAGTGGCGGCCAAGTTGAAAGGTCGCCCGCTCACATCTCCGGGAATGTAAACACACGTCTGCCCATCCAAACACTCAAGCAGGTGCTACGTGAACTCAGCTCATCGTCTGCTAACACGCAATCAGTGGGGACAATTTACTTAATGACATCCGATTTGCTAAATGAAGCACTAATTAAAACCTAATTAAAATTTAAACAATTAAAACTGCCTGCCGAGAGAACCATATTTGTTTTTGTCACGGCCTTAGGGTGTGACAAACTGGTCTAGCTTGGTATGCGGCTGGCTCAAAGCAGACTATTTGTGTCTAGACCAGAGGCGTAGCGACCCTTCCCGGCGCCCGGGGACATACTTCCAATTTGGCGCCCCCTCGAGAGCAAATTTTCGATTTGCACCCCCCCTCGAACTTTTCATTTGCACCCCCCCTCAAACTTTCGATTTGCACCCCCCCCTCGAACTTTTCATCTGCACCCCCCCCCCTCAAACTTTCAATTTGGCGCCCCCCCTAAGGTCGGCGCCCGGGGACATATGTCCCCCCCCCCCCGCTACGCTACTGGTCTAGACAGACACCGAGCTGTGGGCAGACTTCAGGCAGACTAGTTGTGTCTATCTAGACACACATCGGGACGTAGGCCTATAGTGTAATTTGTAAAGAGCACAAACACTGTAGGCCTTAAACGCTATAGGAATCACTATTTCATACTTTTTTTCGGGTGGGCGGACACTGGTAAAAGTATATATAAAGGGGGGGGGATATAGAGCGCCCCCCCCCCCTACGAAAAGATGCCTGGAAGAAACTATATAGTATTATAGGATTACGTGGGCACACTGCCATGTGTTTTTTAGCCTCAAGGGGTCATCCATAATCCATAAGTGACGTCACGCTATTTTTGAAGATTTTTACCTCCAGACCCCCCCCCCCCCCACCTTAAAATGACGTTACTCCTCAGCCTACAACCCCCCTCAAAATTGCTGTTGAATGTTTCTTAAAATTTCGATATTTTTCCAAAATCTTGTCAGATCTCAACATAGTGTTTTGTGATCAATTCCCATTACAATTTATTAAAACTGTATTCTAAATCGCGAAAAAACGGCTGTAACTAGTTTATTGCTTTTTTATAATGCAAAATAGTGACGTCACACCATCTCCCCCCCCCCCATTACGGATCCTCCCAGTGTGACGTCATTTAAGTGCCTAAATGCTCCTCGATGTTTCTTTCAGAATTTTTTCTCCGGGGGGGGGGGGGGGGGGGGCAGACACTGTTAAAAGTACATATTCTCTACTTCGTTCGGGGTAAGAAACTCTGGTGCTCATAGATATTGGGTCGCAGGCCAAAGCAAGCTATCGAGTCTCATCTGCCTTGTCGATTCAGCAGTAGAATATTAGTATTCATGTATTTGAAACTTTATAAATCCCTTAACCCAGGAGTGTGACTCACAATTTCCATTCCCCAACTTAGTAGAGACAAGCTAGTCCTACACGAGAGACTAGTCGAATATTGGGTAACACTGGCTGCAGTTTTACCTCCACTAACAAAGAGTGAAACTTCTGCACGTTTGACCCTACCACCGGGCCTTGTCCAGTAGTGTGACATCTGCCTGATGGGACCACCCCCTGCACCTACCACATATGAACAACCACAACACACAATTTATAAACATAAAACCAGATTACAAAGCAATGTAAGATTTTATTGGCCATCGTACACAAAGTGAAAAAGACATGAGAAAAGTTAGTCCACAGAACTAAATACCAGAACAAATGTTTGCACAAGATCATGACAACAAAGCAGAATAAAACCAACATAACCCTAAGCACCAAGTCAGGTGCACAATGCCTTGAAAAATTTCAGGGAGCATTTTTTGAATGGTCAGCACCTATAATTAAAATAATGAAAGCTTTACATAAATGCAATCAAGTATCCTCTTTGTAGATGGCCAGTCTAAAACCTGGTGTGTTAGCCTTGTGTTAAGTTTGGACAAATGGATGGACAGAGGTCATTTATGCATACTCTTGTGCTTCATTTTCACCCTCCTCCTCGTCAAACTCTCCCTCATCCTCAGCAGTGGCGTCCTGGTACTGTTGGTACTCTGAGACCAGGTCGTTCATGTTGGACTCGGCCTCAGTGAACTCCATCTCGTCCATGCCCTCGCCAGTGTACCAGTGGAGGAAAGCCTTACGACGGAACATAGCTGTGAACTGCTCTGAGATGCGCTTGAACAGCTCCTGGATGGCGGTGCTGTTACCAATGAAGGTGGCAGACATCTTGAGACCACGGGGTGGAATGTCACAGACAGCTGTCTTGACGTTGTTGGGGATCCATTCAACAAAGTAGGATGAGTTCTTGTTCTGGACGTTCAACATCTGCTCGTCAACCTCCTTCATGGACATGCGACCTCTGAAAATGGCAGCCACAGTGAGGTAGCGGCCATGTCTGGGGTCACAGGCGGCCATCATGTTCTTGGCATCAAACATCTGCTGGGTCAGCTCGGGCACAGTCAGGGCTCTGTACTGCTGGGAACCTCTTGAGGTGAGGGGGGCGAAGCCAGGCATGAAGAAGTGTAGACGTGGGAAGGGCACCATGTTGACAGCAAGTTTCCTGAGGTCAGCATTCAGCTGTCCAGGGAACCTGAGGCAAGTGGTGACACCGGACATGGTGGCACTGACTAGGTGGTTCAAGTCACCATATGTGGGTGTGGTCAGTTTCAAGGTACGGAAGCAAATGTCATACAAGGCTTCATTGTCTATACAGTATGTTTCATCTGTGTTTTCAACCAACTGGTGGACTGACAGGGTTGCGTTGTAAGGTTCTACGACTGTGTCTGAGACCTAGACAAAGCAAAAAAAAAATGTAATTTATTATTTTTAAAAAAAATTAGGACCATAATCACACAAGACAAATTAGGACCATAATCACACAAGACAAATTAGGACCATAATCACACAAGACAAATTAGGAGTATCATCATACTCACTTTAGGTGAGGGTACGACTGAAAATGTGTTCATGATTCTGTCTGGGTACTCCTCCCTCATCTTGCTGATTAGAAGTGTTCCCATACCAGACCCAGTGCCCCCACCAAGGGAGTGTGTCAGTTGGAAGCCCTGAAAGAAAAGATTCACGTTAAAACAAGAAAAAAAAAAAAAAAAAAAACTACCCAGGTTCAAAATAGGCTAACAGTAGGCCACCAACACCTGTAGAAATCTCACCTGAAGACAATCGCAGTTCTCCGCCTCTTTCCTGACTACATCCATCACTGAGTCCACTAGCTCTGCTCCTTCAGTGTAATGACCTTTTGCCCAGTTGTTGCCAGCACCAGACTGACCAAAGACAAAGTTGTCAGGCCTGAAGATTTGTCCGAATGGTCCAGATCTGACACTGTCCATGGTGCCAGGCTCGAGGTCAACAAGGACGGCCCGGGGGACATATTTGCCACCTGAGAAAACAAACCAGATACAGGTAAACTACAGCCCCTTGATCAACATCCCTAAGCCTAACCTAACGTGATCAATATCCCTAACCTAACGACATAAAAAATAGCAGCGCAGCTTACCTGAGGCCTCATTGTAGTACACATTAATGCGCTCTAGCTGTAGGTCTGAGTCTCCATGGTATGTACCAGTGGGGTCAATGCCATGTTCGTCTGAAATTACTTCCCAGAACTGTGGACATGATTTTAATCATTAGGTATCACGTCAAGAAGTGACCAGCAACAAACCACTGACACTTTACCACATCAAGAAGTGACCAGCAACAAACCACTGACACTTTACATCTAAAATACCACTAAGAACACATAAGCTAACAAATGTATAGAGATCAAGAATATACTTTAAACTTTAATTACTTTAATGTTGGAATAAAATTTCTTAAAAAGTAAATTGTTTTTCCTCTAGTCACTGGCTTGTGACATTTGCTTCTCAGTTAAAAAAAAATGAAATGAGTCATCCTATAAAAATGGGAGTTTGTGAAAACCCGCTTAAGTCAAATTTAAAAACTGGAGGGGGGGGGGGGGGTGTCAGAATAAAGACTGTCAGATTAAACAATTTATTTTGAATAGACCTTGGATCTAGAAACTATCATTTAAAAACCTTGGTATACCACAACCTTTATCAAAAGACATGTGCCCGCCACATTCAAACGAATCACCCCCCCCCCCCTTGCGGGCCTAAGGAGTGGAGGCGGGCTGCCAAAAATTGTGCAGCCGCTCTTTTTAAGTAAAGTAGGTCATGAATTTCCCTAAGGCTCAACTTGAGTCTAGCACTAACTAAAAAGATGTTTAAAAAATAAGCAATCATAGCATCTAGATTTTAAACATCAGTAAATAGCTAGACTAGATCATCTAGATTTCAGACAATGAGAACTGTTTATCAAAACCTTTGTCTAAATCCCAAATGCCAAATCGTTGAATGAATGACGAATCGTAATGGCGGGGAACAATGTAAGCAGCATCCAGGCGTGGTTGCACTCGCCGGCTCCTCGGTAGATGGCAATACGTGATATTTTAAAACAAAATAATGAATGATGCGCACAAAAAGACTTACCTTGGCACCAATCTGATTTCCGCACTGACCAGCTTGAAGATGAACTATTTCACGCATTTTGTATAAATTTTATAATGGTGACTAATGTATCGTGAAGGAGCAGTTGAGCTATATTGTAGTTCCGCACCGGGTGTATTTCATCTTATACCATCCATCGAGACATTTAAAATCCTTGCGCATTGGCAAGTACAAAATAGTTCTTTTAATTATTCAGTATTGAAATTTAAAAAACTTATTTTCGAATGTGATTTACATTAATAAATTTTAAAATGTTTATTGTATTCCAAAATAAATTATAAAAGAAAGCGTATTTTAAAATAATCTACCCGCGGATTAATTTACACATTTCGACACGTCATGCCTATTTTTAAGAACGAATGAAAACCCATCGACCGGCGCAGCAGCCTATGGATTTGAAATACGGTCGGCCTAGGCTAGGCTACATTCTTGGCACTTAGTAAGAGAAAATTCATCGCTGCTGCGGAATAAAGACAAATCTACCGGCATTTTATTAGCCCCATTCTAAAGAAATAAAATGTCTTCTTTATCAGTTCTTGACTTTTCTGATAACTTATTAGAGAAAACAGTATATTTCAAAATAATCAAACTTGAAGAAAGTTTTTTTATATGGGTTGGTGCAAATCCAATTTTATCAAACATGGCTGTTGCGATGCCGGCAAAATATGTAAGTAGGGCACATCGAATTATTTCCCGTAAAAAAAAAGTACATGTAATTTATACAAATAAACATGGTGTTGCACAAAGATGTTAGTTTTTAGTGGGAGGAATGGAACAGTATCTTAATTGTGCACTACATAATGCAAATGATCAGTAAATGGTCTCTGACCCGCTGAACTAGGTCACGACCTTTTCTGATTTGCATTTGGGGAGAGAAATGGGCTTGAATACGAAAATCAGTCCCACATAATTTTCATGATTTAAATAATGGTTAAATAACCATTAAATAGTGGTTGCTAGGAAACACCTAGTGATCTAACGACTACCAAAGTACGAACTATAAAGCTATATTTTAATTGAAAATGAAATAATTCCCCCCTCTCTACTAGTGTAGTGTGCAGCCTCTGTCTAGCTCTCCTTGAAATTTCGTTCGACAGTGTTAGTTCGTAGATCTAGATCTAAGTCCTAAGTGCCATTTACAAAACTGCTATTCGAAACAGACTGTGCTTTCCATAAACTCTTTTACATCACCGTCCCATCACTTACATTTGACCATCAGCAGCCTAGCTGTTGACAGGCGTCGAATATGCACAGTAGCGTAGCGAGGGGGGGGGGGAGGGGCATATGTCCCCGGGCGCCGACCTTAGGGGGCGCCAAAATGGGTTGGAAAAATAAATTGAAAGGTTGAGGGGGTGCAAATCGAAAAGTTTGTCCCCGGGCGCCGGGAAGGGTCGCTACGCATCTGAATATGCAGATAGCTTTGCAGTTTGGATGTGATGATTTTACACTTTGCGGTTTTCCATGCATAACTTTAGATGTAATCCACTCGTGTACTATTGTCCACAGAAAGCCGTACATTCTAATTTAAATGTGATAATTTATCACATATTGGTTGTTGTCACAAACAAATGACTTAAGTTTAATGTGATAAATTATCACTCATATTGGCGATGGTAGTCATAGACCGCGTTTCTTTCAGGCACCGCACATGTATTGCCCCCCCCCCCCTCCCCCCACCCCCGAGCACGTCCTTCGTGCACCTTACGAGGTAGGAAAAAGAAATCACTTTCATCTAAAAATGTATTCTTCAACTCTTTAAACTCGACCCCGTGAAGTTTCCCATACCCGAATAAAATTTCCGCAAGAAAGCATGGAGCACCATGTTTTATACGCCCTATATTTGTATTTTCTGCAGGGAAACATACCCTCCGGCAGTGTCCTGTTTGGTGGCAAGTCGGAGCACACATCTTCGGCTTTGGCGCAGAAACTTGGTTAGTAGAATTTGGTTGGATCGACTAGTGCTGCGGTTAAAACATTCTTCCTATTAATCCCTTATCATTTCCTGTCATGCATTTGCCCTCGCCAACTAAATTGGTTAAAATAATGACGTTGTAAAACTTTGCCATCACCAGCTACATGGGTTAAAATAATGACGGTGTAAAACTTTGCCCTCATCAACTAAATTGGTTAAAATAATGACGTTGTAAAACTTTGCCCTCATCAGCTAAATTGGTTAACATAATGACGTTGTAAAGCTTTGCCCTCATCAACTAAATTGGTTAAAATAATGACGTTGTAATACTTTGCCCTCATCAGCTAAATTGGTTAACATAATGACGTTGTAAAGCTTTGCCCTCATCAACTAAATTGGTTTAAATAATGACGTTGTAATACTTTGCCCTCATCAACTAAATTGGTTAAAATATTGACGTTGTAAAACTTTGCCCTCACCAGCTAAAAAATACAACAGCCAAGTGTTCATAAGCTGCAGCATCCCATTCGAGCCGACCCTGTCACTGGCAGTAGAGAGACGACTGGTCCAAGAACTGAATAAGTCCATTAGTACTTAGATCTTTGTTGTCTTTTTCATATGTATATATCTGTTTAATAAAGGACAAATGATAGAATTCACTGTATGGCGTGTTGATGTATTGATTTATCATGTGTCGCTTGAATATTTAGGGCAAAAGCACTACAAACAGCACATTTTTGTTGATTTAAATGAAGCATAAATTGTAGTAAAGTTACAAACAAGATACAATAACAAAATAACAATAGACCTACAGACAACGCAGTGATGTATTTCCAATAGGATAACAAATGAAGTTTGACAATTTAGGGAGTAGTTTTAAATAAAAGAACTTGTCCGGTTCATCCAGTGGTGTGTCAAATCGGTTTCTTTTCTTTCAGGCATCTCTTCGGGGGATGGGGGGGGGGGGGGGGGGGCTCCCCACAGAACGAAATAATTTGTATAGAAAACTAGCGTACCCGACCCCCGCGCGTTGCCGCGGGGATAGAAGAAAGTTTGACGAAATATATTAGGATTTCACCAACGCGTTATCAATTATAATTATATTTTCTTAGACGCGTGACCTTCTTTTCTAAAAATGAGTTATTTAAATGTAAACAATGCCTGCGCTTGGATCATAAATATCAGGACACGGGTTTACCTACACTACCGCATGAAAACCTTGAGTGTACATTAATCACTCACTGAAATAATGAGGTAGAACACACTTCGGTGACCGCCTCTGTGTCAGAGCGTAGAGGGGCGCTCTCATGGCCCCCACCCCCCGATTACACTACCGCATAGGCGCGGCGTACTACCCCTGGCTCCTTAAAACTAACAGGCGCCATCGTGCCAAATAGCACCCTGTTAATAATGATGCAGATTTCGTCATTTGCTAAAGTGACACAAATGAACAGGATTTTTGTCTTTAACATGTAAAAAAATTATTTGACGTGTTTTAAATATCATTGTGACTGATGCAATATGCTAGCGTTGCTAATGGTCTATTATTAGATGCTCGATCTCAATTTCTGACTGGATTGTCTAATAATAGATGCTTGTTGCATCATTCGCAAAGTGACGAAACTCTACAGTAGGCTCCTCATATTCAAAAAGTTATTTTTTCATCTTTCGCAAGGTGACGAAACTGTACAGAAGGATTTCCTCGCGTTACAAAGTTATTTTTAGAAGCCTGTTGTAGTTTTACCGCTGAATATAGTAGTACCCCTTACTCGCTATGCAGGACGCTCGATTAACGGATGCCAAGTGCCAACATCGTCGCTCTAAAACTCTGGGCGCCAAACCGTGTATTGACGAAAGTTGTACCCTATATGGCGCTGCCCATAAGAAACTTTAGTTTTCTTTTTCGCAGAAAAATTCTCGGGAGTATTCTCATCTACTCCCTAAAGTTTCATGGCACTCGGATGAACCACATCCGAGTTTTATTTTTTATATACCGTGTATAGAGAAAAAAATCGCCCCCCCCCGCCGGAGGGCGCCGCCCTTGCAATATTAAACACTATTTTTTTTTTTTTTTGCAGAACCCTACTATTGAGTTATCTAATCATCTCCCCAAAGTTTCACGGTACACGGATGAACGGTGTGAAACCGAAATAGACTTTTATTTTTATAAACCGTATAGAGAAAAATCGCAGCCTCCCGTGGCGCCGCTCTTGCGAAATTAAAAAAGCATTTTTTTTTTTACAGAACCCTTCCCTGAAATGTTCTAATCAACTCCCCCAAAGTCTCATGGCTATTGGATGACGGTGTCACACGCCAAAATCGACTTTTATTTTTATATACTGTATATAGAGAAAAATTGCACCCTCCCGTGGCGCCGCCCCTGCGAAATTAAAAATGATTTTTTACAGAACCCTTCGTAGAGTTTTATAATGAACTCCCCAAAGTTTCATGCCTATCGGATGAACGGTGTCACTGCAATTAACTTTTATTATTTTTATATACCGTATATAGAGAAAAATCGCACCCTCCTGTGGCGCCGCCCTTGCGAAAATAAAAATGATTTTTTATAAAGAACCCTTCCCTGGGGTGTTCTAAGCAACTTCCCAAAGTTTGATGGCGATCGGATGAAAGGTGTAAAACCGGAATAGACTTTTATTTTTATAAACCGTATATATAGAAAATCGGACCCTCCCGTGGCGCCGCCCTTGCGAAATTAAAAATTATTTTTTACAGAACCCTTCCCTAGAGTGGTATAATGAACTCCCCAAAGTCTCATGGCTATCGGATGAACGATGCCAAACCAAAATCGACTTTTATATACGGTATATAGAGAAAAACAAATCGCGCCCTGCCGGGGCGCCATCCCTACGAATTTAAAAATGTTTTTTTGCGCAAAAACCTCCACAGGAGTATTCTCAACATCTTTCCAAAAATTCATGGCGATCGTGTGAACGGTGTCACTGCAATTTACTTTTATTATTTTTATATACCGTATATAGAGAAAAACAAATCGCGCCCTGCCGGGGCGCCACCCCTGCGAATTTGAAATTTTTTTTTCGCAGAAACCTCCCCAGGAATATTCTCAACAACTTACCAAAGTTTCACGGCGATGTGATGAGAGGTGTAGTAATGCATAAAGGACAAACACACACACAATCACACACACATACATTGCTTTTTATATATATAGAAGATATATAGTTATCAGTGTCCCCCCTCCCCAACCCCGAGAAAAAAGTTCGAAAGAAAGACCGTGTCAAATAATACGCTTACATCGAGATGCTGCTACAAATAGATCTATAGTTGTGTTGTCAATTATTTAAGCCCATATTAGTCATCACATAACAAAAAAAAACCTCTCTGGGGGGGGGGGGGGGGGGGGGGGCGGGGGCATTTTTTGAGTCAACGGTCAACATGCCTAACTAGAAAAACGTACACTTCAGGTGCGACAAGTTAGCGCCCTTTGAGAACCCGTTTAGTACCTTAGAAGCGTTGCTATTGACTACAGCCATAGATTTAAATGCGTGAACCATTTTAATTAGTTTCACTTAAATAGAGGGTATGCAACACAATGAAAGATTGAACGTGATAAATGTTGGCTTTAAAGGTGGTTAAGCTATTATTACTATGAGTTGAGTACAGAAAATTATATTAACTATTCCTTTTTCCCATTTCACGTTAGATCAAAGTTTGTATTAAAAAAAACACGACAACTCAGTAGATTGGAAATTATGTTCTACTTAAATCTATTAAATGCTTATGACTGAATTAAAACCTCCATACTTTAGACCAGGGGTCTCCAAACTGCGGGCCGCATGCGGCCCGCTGAGATATTTTTTTCCAAGAAAAATCCTTTGTTGGTGATGGCTTGGGAACTTCGCCCAGAAAAATCAAAAACATGTCTGGAAGAAACTGGCCCCCGAACTGAAATTTGATAGTTATTGCGGCCCTCGGACTGAAAAATTTGGAGACCCCTGCTTTAGACTAAATATTTGTATGCGCTTAATGATTATTACCATACAAATATAATCTAAGAACATATATCTATAATGTTTAGGCCTACATTACATTTAATTAATCGTGTAACGATTTGCCCTTTCGAAATACTTAATACATAGATTCATAGAAGTATTAACGAATTCCTTGTACATTTGTGACTTTTTTCCGATTATAGGAAAAAAAGTCACAGGAAAAAAAAAACACACACAGAAAAAAGTCACAGGAAAAAAGTCACCTTTTCTCCTACAATCTCCTGCGGTAGCCAGTCACTGAGTTACTTCTAGGCATCGTTTCGGGGGGGGGGGGGCGCCTCCTCGAAGAAAGTCTGTCAGCCCCCCCCCCCTCCAAGGAAATGGAATTCATATAGAAAATTGGACAAAGCCTAGGCTAGATTTGCTCTTGTTTAAGTTGTTTAGCCTAAAAGGATACATTAGTTCTGATAGTTAGTCCTAATTCGGCTTTCGTACGTTCAGGCAATGATCATTTGTTTAATTTGGTTATTGTTATTATTCGTTATTTAGTATGGCCTTGGATCAAGACTGCAAACTATCGTCTGGAAGTAACTTAATAAACTATCAACCCATTAGAATATGACAATGAGATTCTTGTCTTAGAAATGGTTGGGTTCATCATTACACACGCACATTGAAAATTAAACTAGATCTAGATCTAGATAAACTAGATAGATATTTTAGATATAGACTAGCTTAACTAGATCTAGATCTAGATTCTAGATCTAGATCTCTAGATCTAGACTACTAGATCTACTACTAGATCTAGATTTAAGTGATAGTGATTAAGTCTAATAATTATAATAGTCTAATGCTAACCCTGTCCGGGGTCCCTAACAATGCCAACGGTGCCCTAACCGAACCCCAACCCTGGTCCTACCATCGCATTATTCATTAGATCTATATCTATATATATATCTATATGAGATTATAACCATACATACATACGCCTAACGAACCAATTTCTCACCATAAAATTAGTCGAGATATGTTGTTAAATAAATGTGTCACCTTTTTAGAGATTTAGTCTAGAAATCTAGTTATTTCTTTGCTTTGTCTAATGACTAATGTAATAATCATTCGACATGTAGTAAAGCACATTGCCCTTTGAACAATAACTATTTGATAAAATATTTTTCTCAAACAAATATAGATCTAACATTAATATTAAAATACAATATAGAATCAAGGCCTATATGCCTATAATTAGTATAATTCATGTGTAACGGGTACCAACGGCTAGTGTATTTGTAAAATATAATCACAGTTACCTTATAAAATAAGAGGCATTTGAGTAGGCATATGTTTATTTCTAAAAGTAAAATTAATTTAGAACATATAGCCTAAATTTTGGCCTATTATTTTGAAACACATTTTTTTGAGCCAAACATTAATGTAGATAAAAGTACCTAAACTGCTTTGGGAAATAGATCTAATAGCTGAACCTCAGCAGATTTTGAAAATGTGGTTGATTTTTATATTGTGAAAGAATATTGTGATACTTTTTCTATTAATATAGGAGATAGTGGTAAAAAAATGTATGAACTTCATTCAGTTTATTATTAATAACATCCTTTTCCCTTAGTCTACAGTTTACTCTGTTACCTGTATATAAACCTTAATATCCTCCACAGTAATATTCTAGTCTATTATTTTAATAGTTTTAGATCTAAACTAGAAATTCTAAGAGTCGAGGTCTTGTAGAATCGAAAATTCTATATGTAGATGTATTGTTAGCTATATTTACAAAACAATGAATGAGGGTTCTGCGTGTGATAAAAATTTGTTTCTACCACAGCACTTGTTCAGCTGAAGGTGATTTGGCTGTCTAGATGTAGGGCTTAATGCATGGGACAACAGCTGAAAGTGGTGCAGCATCATGGCACTTTGATGTCGTGGTCTATTGGTCGCTACCAACTACTGGTGTTTGGTCTACTCTGGGTGATAGTCAGGTATGTTGGTTGATGTTAGTCATATTTGTGGTGTGCTTGGATGATCTTTCTGGTGCGCTTGGATGATCTTTCTTGTGTGTGGTTCAATTATCTTTGTGGTGTGTGGTTCAATGATCTTTGTGGTGTGTGGTTCAAAGATCTTTGTGGTGTGTGGTTCAATGATCTTTGTGGTGTGTGGTTCAAAGATCTTTCTGGTGTGTGGTTCATTGATCTTTCTGGTGTGTTAGAAAATTGTTTAGATTAATTATTAGTTACAAAATATGACTGATTTTTTTATAAAGATTGGCCAACTGTGACATCAAGTTGTCCAGCAGTGAGATTGGTGACAAGCTGGATCTACTTGAGCCGTATCTGTCACATCATGGCCCAGTTAACAGAAGACACAGAGACACCAGAGAATGTCAGTCTGTCAAGTACAAAAACGTGACACACTCCAAGTATCCTGCACAGAGCCACTCACCACCTCTACTGCCTTTAGTTGAAGCTAAATATCTCATTAAAGAGGTAACTTAAACATCACTAGTTTCAATTGAGGATATATCTAGATGGTGACAATGGTTATAGCTAGATGGTGGCAAAGGTTATAGCTATATGGTGACAATGGTTATATCTAGATGGTGACAATGGTTTTAGCTAGATGGTGACAATGGTTATATCTAGATGGTGACAATGGTTATATCTAGATGGTGACAATGGTTATAGCTAGATGGTGACAATGGTTATAGCTAGATGGTGACAATGGTTATATCTAGATGGTGACAATGGTTATATCTAGATGGTGACAATGGTTATATCTAGATGGTGACAATGGTTATAGCTAGATGGTGACAATGGTTATAGCTAGATGGTGACAATGGTTATAGCTAGATGGTGACAATGGTTATAGCTAGATGGTGACAATGGTTATAGCTAGATGGTGACAATGGTTTTAGCTAGATGGTGACAATGGTTATAGCTAGATGGTGAGGTTGGAGGTAGAGTTGAGAAGTAGCAACATTACATGTGTGAGTTTTGATGTTACTGACAGGTTGGCACAAATTACTGGGACAAGCACCAGACAGTTATACACCAGCAGATAGTCAATAACCCAATGACCACTTGGTCAGTTCTAGAGCCAGGGCACCCGGGCTCATGCCAGAATGGAACTGGTGCTCGCTATACTGTACGGCAAACAGCAGAACAGAAACCTTGCCTAGCTGCTGCCAATGGTGGCTTCTTCAGTACATCAACTGGACAATGCCTAGGTGAGTAGAGAGGTTGCTTGCACCTGTCTTCAGTACATCAACTGGACAATGCCTAGGTGAGTAGAGAGGTTGCTTGCACCTGTCTTCAGTACATCAACTGGACAATGCCTAGGTGAGTAGAGAGGTTGCTTGCACCTGTCTTCAGTACATCAACTGGACAATGCTTAGGTGAGTAGAGAGGTTGCTTGCACCTGTCTTCAGTACATCAACTGGACAATGCCTAGGTGAGTAGAGCGGTTGCTTGCACCTGTCTTCAGTACATCAACTGGACAATGCCTAGGTGAGTAGAGAGGTTGCTTGCAACTGTCTTCAGTACATCAACTGGACAATGCTTAGGTGAGTAGAGCGGTTGCTTGCACCTGTCTTCAGTACATCAACTGGACAATGCCTAGGTGAGTAGAGCGGTTGCTTGCACCTGTCTTCAGTACATCAACTGGACAATGCCTAGGTGAGTAGAGAGGTTGCTTGCACCTGTCTTCAGTACATCAACTGGACAATGCCTAGGTGAGTGGAGAGGTTGCTTGCACCTGTCTTTACTTGTCCAATGAAAACATTTTGTCTGAAGTAACAACTAAACATTTTACAGTTTTTAATTATGATTAAAAATGTGTCAAAATATTGTGAAGACCAAACCATTCCAGCCACCAAATATTGCCTGCTGTACTTCACCTGAGGACTAAAACATTATGTTTTACCATTGTGAAATACTTTTTTCTGTCCAGGTAATATAGTCAGTGATGGCCTGCTTATCCAGGACTCAGGCGGGGTCCAGAACGTCCATTTTGGTCTGACCAGAGATGGTTATATTTACACTGGGTAAGCAGGTGGCAGCTTTCTTTTTTTAAATAGTTTTAGACTTGTGTCCATTGACTGAATCCACTGGCTCTATCTTGCAACTGACCAACAGTTGTGTGTCCATTGACTGAATCCACTGGCTTTATCTTGCAACTGACCAACAGTTGTGTGTCCATTGACTGAATCCACTGGAACTTGCAACTGACCAACAGTTGTGTGTCCATTGACTGAATCCACTGGCTTTATCTTGCAACTGACCAACAGTTGTGTGTCCATTGACTGAATCCACTGGAACTTGCAACTGACCAACAGTTGTGTGTCCATTGACTGAATCCACTGGAACTTGCAACTGACCAACAGTTGTGTGTCCATTGACTGAATCCACTGGAACTTGCAACTGACCAACAGTTGTGTGTCCATTGACTGAATCCACTGGAACTTGCAACTGACCAACAGTTGTGTGTCCATTGACTGAATCCACTGGAACTTGCAACTGACCAACAGTTGTGTGTCCATTGACTGAATACACTGGAACTTGCAACTGACCAACAGTTGTGTGTCCATTGACTGAATACACTGGCTCTATCTTGCAACTGACCAACAGTTGTGTGTCCATTGACTGAATCCACTGGCTCTAACTGATCAGTTGGTTCTCTAGAACACCTCCTATTAGTAACCATTCTCCAAATTTAAAAAAGAACTGGATTTGTTGACCCAAGACTTTTCATTATTGACTGTAGGTACCTATCAGAACTGGATTTGTTAACCTCAGACTGTTCATTATTGACTGTAGGTACCTATCAGAACTGGATTTGTTGACCCAAGACTTTTCATTATTGACTGTAGGTACCTATCAGAACTGGATTTGTTAACCTCAGACTTTTCATTATTGACTGTAGGTACCTATCAGAACTGGATTTGTTGACCCAAGACTTTTCATTATTGACTGTAGGTACCTATCAGAACTGGATTTGTTGACCCAAGACTTTTCATTATTGACTGTAGGTACCTATCAGAGCTGGATTTGTTGACCTCAGACTGTTCATTATTGACTGTAGGTACCTATCAGAACTGGATTTGTTGACCTCAGACTTTTCATTATTGACTGTAGGTACCTATCAGAACTGGATTTGTTGACCCAAGACTTTTCATTATTGACTGTAGGTACCTATCAGAACTGGATTTGTTGACCCAAGACTTTTCATTATTGACTGTAGGTACCTATCAGAGCTGGATTTGTTGACCTCAGACTGTTCATTATTGACTGTAGGTACCTATCAGAGCTGGATTTGTTAACCTCAGACTGTTCATTATTGACTGTAGGTACCTATCAGAACTGGATTTGTTGACCCAAGACTTTTCATTATTGACTGTAGGTACCTATCAGAACTGGATTTGTTGACCCAAGACTTTGTCCAGCTGGTTGGAGGGGTCATCTGGCTAGTTCGAGATGGGGTCAGCTATGTTGAGGAGAGCAAACAGATTGAATGTCCAGACACTGAGGAAACAGGTCAGACATGGGGCTGCTGCCAGTCACTCTACAATTCATTCACTCACTTAAAATTAATTCACTCACCCTAAACTGACCATGAACTGAACAAATGACAGCACTGCCTACTTATATGATTTTGCCTGATTTTGATACCCAGGTTACAATACTAGGAGTAAGCTAAATGTTAAGCTTTTGCCTTCCACCTGAATTCTTTGTTGGCTTAAACTTTTAGTGTTTTTCTTGTGCTAACTTTCTGGTTTTGTATTGAACTAGTTGAGATTTCAGCTGTGTTATTCAATACTTTTTGTTACCGTGTGTCTTCCATAACAACCCCTCTCACCTCCCTGCCTAACATCATGGTCAGTGGGAGTGGTTAGCTATTTATTGAGAGTGCTTTTTTTCACAGAAAATAGTTTGTCTTTCCTGACATTAAATGATTAATTATGCTATTGTAGGTATTAAAAAAATGATAAAAAAGTTGGATAAAAGTTGTTTTGAATTTAGTGCAGTTTTATTTTTATGTTGCCTACAAGAAGCCTGGAATGTAAAAAAAAACAACTGCAATATATGTAACATACCTACTTATCATCATTATACTGGTATATTTTGAAGTACTTTACATTTTGACTTAGTTACCTTGTTTATAAAAAATGGGTGTGAAAAATGGTTTCTTGAAAAAGGTTGCTGACATAGCAGATTATTACAGGAAATGTATATGGTTTGTGACTAAAAACTTCATTTTTCTGGTACTCTCAGCCCTGTAATGATCAAAAATATGTTTTACTGTCCATGAATTTATTGACAGACCATGAATTTTGTGTATTGACTAATCATGAATGGACTGACCACAAACTGACCCTGAATTTCTGTCACTGACCAGGTACTATGGAGAGATTTGTGTCTGTCATCTCTGCCAGAACAGCAGTAGGACATGATAAGCAAGGGAGGATACACATGGTGCAGGTCAATGGGAAAACTGATCAGTACGGGTGAGTTGTGTTGTAGGGTTAGTTGTGTTGTAGTCAGTACAGGTGAGTTGTGTTGTAGTCAGTACAGGTGAGTTGTGTTGTAGTCAGTACAGGTGAGTTGTGTTGTAGGGTGAGTTGTGTTGTAGTCAGTACAGGTGAGTTGTGTTGTAGTCAGTACAGGTGAGTTGTGTTGTAGGGTTAGTTGTGTTGTAGTCAGTACAGGTGAGTTGTGTTGTAGGGTTAGTTGTGTTGTAGTCAGTACAGGTGAGTTGTGTTGTAGGGTTAGTTGTGTTGTAGTCAGTACAGGTGAATTGTGTTGTAGTCAGTACAGGTGAGTTGTGTTGTAGGGTGAGTTGTGTTGTAGTCAGTACAGGTGAGTTGTGTTGTAGTCAGTACAGGTGAGTTGTGTTGTAGTCAGTACAGGTGAGTTGTGTTGTAGTCAGTACAGGTGAGTTGTGTTGTAGTCAGTACAGGTGAGTTGTGTTGTAGTCAGTACAGGTGAGTTGTGTTGTAGGGTGAGTTGTGTTGTAGTCAGTACAGGTGAGTTGTGTTGTAGGGTGAGTTGTGTTGTAGTCAGTACAGGTGAGTTGTGTTGTAGTCAGTACAGGTGAGTTGTGTTGTAGTCAGTACAGGTGAGTTGTGTTGTAGTCAGTACAGGTGAGTTGTGTTGTAGGGTGAGTTGTGTTGTAGTCAGTACAGGTGAGTTGTGTTGTAGTCAGTACAGGTGAGTTGTGTTGTAGTCAGTACAGGTGAGTTGTGTTGTAGTCAGTACAGGTGAGTTGTGTTGTAGTCAGTACAGGTGAGTTGTGTTGTAGGGTGAGTTGTGTTGTAGTCAGTACAGGTGAGTTGTGTTGTAGGGTGAGTTGTGTTGTAGTCAGTACAGGTGAGTTGTGTTGTAGTCAGTACAGGTGAGTTGTGTTGTAGGGTGAGTTGTGTTGTAGTCAGTACAGGTGAGTTGTGTTGTAGTCAGTACAGGTGAGTTGTAGTCAGTACAGGTTAGTTGTGTTGTAGTCAGTACAGGTGAATTGTGTTGTAGGGTGAGTTGTGTTGTAGTCAGTACAGGTGAGTTGTGTTGTAGTCAGTACAGGTGAGTTGTGTTGTAGGGTTAGTTGTGTTGTAGTCAGTACAGGTGAGTTGTGTTGTAGTCAGTACAGGTGAGTTGTGATGTAGGGTTAGTTGTGTTGTAGTCAGTACAGGTGAATTGTGTTGTAGTCAGTACAGGTGAATTGTGTTGTAGTCAGTACAGGTGAGTTGTGTTGTAGTCAGTACAGGTGAGTTGTGTTGTAGTCAGTACAGGTTAGTTGTGTTGTAGTCAGTACAGGTGAGTTGTGTTGTAGTCAGTACAGGTGAGTTGTGTTGTAGTCAGTACAGGTGAGTTGTGTTGTAGTCAGTACAGGTGAGTTGTGTTGTAGTCAGTACAGGTGAGTTGTGTTGTAGTCAGTACAGGTGAGTTGTGTTGTAGTCAGTACAGGTGAGTTGTGTTGTAGTCAGTATAGGTGAGTTGTGTTGTAGTCAGTATAGGTGAGTTGTGTTGTAGGGTGAGTTGTGTTGTAGTCAGTACAGGTGAGTTGTGTTTTAGCCTGCACGGGTAAGTGGATGTTTGTTTCAGTCAGTATGTTTGAGTTTTGTTGCCGTGTTTAAAACTTGCATGAAGTTATATTAAAAAAGATTTAAATTTTAATAAAAATATTTTTGATGTGATCTGTCATTATGTAATTGTGAGAGATCTTAAAGAAAACAGAGCTGTTTATTTTTCTTGCTTTTTCATGCTGGTTCCATTGTAGCATCAACTTGCCAGATTTAGCCAAGCTTCTGATAGACTTTGGTCTTGTTAATGCTATCAACCTTGATGGTGGTGGGTCAGCTACTACGGTCATCAATGGAACACTGGTCAACTCTCCCTCAGACCAATGGTCAGTTTTTACTTAGCAGAGCCTATTAACCTGTTGACTCAAATGTTTACTGTAAATGGTCAGTTTTTACTTAGCAGAGCCTATTAACCTGTTGACTCAAATGTTTACTGTAAATGGTCAGTTTTTACTTAGCAGAGCCTATTAACCTGTTGACTCAAATGTTTACTGTAAATGGTCAGTTTTTACTTAGCAGAGCCTATTAACCTGTTGACTCAAATGTTTACTGTAAGTGGTCAGTTTTTACTTAGCAGAGCCTATTAACCTGTTTACTCAAATGTTTACTGTAAATGGTCACTGTAAATGGTCAGTTTTTACTTAGCAGAGCCTATTAACCTGAGTTTACTCAAATGTTTACATGTCCTTCCAGCTCTAACTCTAAGATATTTGCTGTAACTTTTCTCTAGCGCCAACTCTAGCTACAACTGTGAGAGGGCCGTGTCTTCTAAACTATTTGCTGTAACTTTTCTTGTAGCGCCAACTCTAGCTACAACTGTGAGAGGGCCGTGTCTTCTAAACTATTTGCTGTAACTTTTCTTGTAGCGCCAACTCTAGCTACAACTGTGAGAGGGCCGTGTCTTCTAAACTATTTGCTGTAACTTTTCTTGTAGCGCCAACTCTAGCTACAACTGTGAGAGGGCCGTGTCTTCTAAACTATTTGCTGTAACTTTTCTTGTAGCGCCAACTCTAGCTACAACTGTGAGAGGGCCGTGTCTTCTAAACTATTTGCTGTAACTTTTCTTGTAGCGCCAACTCTAGCTACAACTGTGAGAGGGCCGTGTCTTCCATTATCTGCGTTCATGAACCTGCCTGCCTTGTGGCTGACTGCTCTAGCCATGGTGTGTGTCAAATGGGGGTTTGTCAGTGTCAAGGTCATTGGGCTGGCCCAGACTGTAGCTCATTATCCTGTGAAAATGGTTGTAGTTCACATGGAACATGCTCAGAAGGTAAGGAACACGATTTATGGCTATTCACTTTTTAAGACCCTAATAACCTCCAAGCTCCAATAAGATTTTTTCTATTAAATTCTTTATTTTCTGAATCCAAGTTTTTAATTGTTCATCGCTAGAGCGGCTATTTTTTGTTGTTTTTACTTGTTGTAGTTTTCCTAATGGGTTGATTTTGTATTTTATAGTTTTTTTTTGGGAAAGTACTTGCGAAGCAACATTTTTTTTTAACATTGGTGAAGCATTTAGCATCTGTGTCAGAATGTTTACGTTGCCATGTTAAAAAATTAACAAAAATTATAGTGATTACTCTAGTACTAATCCAATCCTTGATTTTTGTAGAAAGCTGGATGTTATTTCCATTTTCTATGAATAAGAGGTGATAAAAAAATACTTCTAATTAATTTTTGTGACTAAAGTATATTTTCCCCCCCAAAAAAACTTTTTTAAAACTAAGTAATTATCTTTCTAAAATTTATAAATTATTACTTAAAATAAATACTAGTGTGAAGGGTGTTTAACAATGATTTATTAATACTGGCAATGTGTGGGATTTAAATCGTTTCAAAAAGATATGAGCAGCTTTGTGGCATAGGACTAAAAAAAAATTGTGTTAACAAAAATAATTCCAATCTTTAAGAATTTTATAATTGAAAGGCAAGATAACAAATTCAAACATTAATTTCTGATAAAAATGTCAACCCTTATACTTAGCTAATTAATATTAATGAAATAGTCTTATGGATAAAAATTATGGTTATCTTGAATAATAATTATTTTTTTGAAATATAACTGTATGAATTTTTTTGAACTAAAATGGCTTTTTAGCTAATAATTTTTTGGCTAATAATTTTCTGGTTACAAGATTTGAACCTTGTTACAGGTGGTTGTCAGTGTGAGGCAGGGTGGTCAGGCACTGATTGCTCCCTGGGCTGCCCAGTTGGGTTTTATGGTTTCAACTGCTCCCTGCCTTGTACCTGTGAGAATGGCGCTACCTGCAACCCTGTCACAGGTTCTTGCAGGTGTCCGGCTGGGTACACAGGAAAGTTCTGTCATCAAGGTCAGTGTCACTAGTGGACATTCTAGGTGGTATATTGTCATCAAGGTCAGTGTCACTAGTGGACATTCTAGGTGGTATATTGACAAGGTCAGTGTTACTAGTGGATATTCTAGGTGGTATATTGACATCAAGGTCAGTGTCACTAGTGGACATTCTAGGTGGTATATTGACATCAAGGTCAGTGTCACTAGTGGACATTCTAGGTGGTATATTGACAAGGTCAGGTCACTAGTGGACATTCTAGGTGGTATATTGTCATCAAGGTCAGTGTCACTAGTGGACATTCTAGGTGGTATATTGAAATCAAGGTCAGTGTCACTAGTGGACATTCTAGGTGGTATATTGTCATCAAGGTCAGGTCACTAGTAAACATTCTAGGTGGTATATTGACATCAAGGTCAGTGTCACTAGTGGACATTCTAGGTGGTATATTGACATCAAGGTCAGTGTCACTAGTGGACATTCTAGGTGGTATATTGTCATCAAGGTCAGGTCACTAGTAAACATTCTAGGTGGTATATTGACATCAAGGTCAGGTCACTAGTGGACATTCTAGGTGGTATATTGTCATCAAGGTCAGGTCACTAGTGGACATTCTAGGTGGTATATTGTCCGCTAGTGAAATGATTTATCCACACTTTGTCCATGGGAAAGGGGGGGTGAGGTAATTTCGTATATTCTTAGTCAATGAAATGATTTATCCCCAGTTTGTCCATGGGGGTACTTTGGAGAAGACTGTAGCCATATTTGTTTCTGTGAGCATGGCTGTTACTGTGATCATGTGACGGGGGATTGTAACACCACCTTACCTGAGGAATACATGCAAGGTGAGCTTTTCTGACTCATGATTGTAACACCACCTTACCTGAGGAATACATGCAAGGTGAGGTTTTCTGACTCATGATTGTAACACCACCTTACCTGAGGAATACATGCAAGGTGAGGTTTTCTGACTGTTCATCTGTAAGTCTTGTTGGTCCTTTGTTCTGCTCATCTGTTTTAACTTTTGGCCATTTTCCCTCTCTAGCTGGCAAGTGTGTCGCTGGCCATCAGATCCAGAGGCTTCACTTGGTGCCAGATAAGGAACAGCAATACAGGTAGAGATGCATGTCAACTCTCCACCCAGTCTGTTGATGTGACATGTCCACTCTCCACCCAGTCTGTTGATGTGACATGTCCACTCCCCACCCAGTCTGTTGATGTGACATGTCCACTCCCCACCCAGTCTGTTGATGTGACATGTCCACTCCCCAGTCTGTTGATGTGACATGTCCACTCCCCACCCAGTCTGTTGATGTGACATGTCCACTCCCCAGTCTGTTGATGTGACATGTCCACTCCCCACCCAGTCTGTTGATGTGACATGTCCACTCCCCACCCAGTCTGTTGATGTGACATGTCCACTCCCCACCCAGTCTGTTAATGTGACATGTCCACTCCCCACCCAGTCTGTTGATGTGACATGTTAACTCCCGAGTCTGTTGATGTGACATGTCCACTCCCCAGTCTGTTGATGTGACATGTCCACTCCCCACCCAGTCTGTTGATGTGACATGTCCACTCCCCACCCAGTCTGTTGATGTGACATGTCCACTCCCCAGTCTGTTGATGTGACATGTCCACTCCCCAGTCTGTTGATGTGACATGTCCACTCCCCACCCAGTCTGTTGATGTGACATGTCCACTGTTGATGTGACATGTCCACTCCCCACCCAGTCTGTTGATGTGACATGTCCACTCCCCACCCAGTCTGTTGATGTGACATGTCCACTCCCCAGTCTGTTGATGTGACATGTCCACTCCCCACCCAATTTGTTGATGTGACATGTCCACTCCCCACCCAGTCTGTTGATATGAGATGTCCACTCCCCACCCAGTCTGTTAATGTGACATGTCCACTCCCCAGTCTGTTGATGTGACATGTCCACTCCCCAGTCTGTTGATGTGACATGTCCACTCCCCAGTCTGTTGATGTGACATGTCCACTCCCCAGTCTGTTGATGTGACATGTCCACTCCCCAGTCTGTTAATGTGACATGTCCACTCCCCACCCAGTCTGTTGATGTGACATGTCCACTCCCCAGTCTGTTGATGTGACATGTCCACTCCCCAGTCTGTTGATGTGACATGTCCACTCCCCACCCAGTCTGTTGATGTGACATGTCCACTCCCCAGTCTGTTGATGTGACATGTCCACTCCCCACCCAGTCTGTTGATGTGACATGTCCACTCCCCAGTCTGTTGATGTGACATGGCCACTCCCCACCCACTCTGTTAATGTGACATGTCCACTCCCCAGTCTGTTGATGTGACATGTCCACTCCCCACCCAGTCTGTTGATGTGACATGTCCACTCCCCAGTCTGTTAATGTGACATGTCCACTCCCCAGTCTGTTGATGTGACATGTCCACTCCCCAGTCTGTTGATGTGACATGTCCACTCCCCAGTCTGTTGATGTGACATGTCCACTCCCCAGTCTGTTGTGACATGTCCACTCCCCAGTCTGTTAATGTGACATGTCCACTCCCCAGTCTGTTGATGTGACATGTCCACTCCCCAGTCTGTTGATGTGACATGTCCACTCCCCACCCAGTCTGTTGATGTGACATGTCCACTCCCCAGTCTGTTAATGTGACATGTCCACTCCCCACCCAGTCTGTTGATGTGACATGTCCACTCCCCACCCAGTCTGTTGATGTGACATGTCCACTCCCCAGTCTGTTAATGTGACATGTCCACTCCCCAGTCTGTTGATGTGACATGTCCACTCCCCACCCAGTCTGTTGATGTGACATGTCCACTCCCCAGTCTGTTGATGTGACATATCCACTCCCCACCCAATTTGTTGATGTGACATGTCCACTCCCCACCCAGTCTGTTGATGTGAGATGTCCACTCCCCACCCAGTCTGTTGATGTGACATGTCCACTCCCCACCCAGTCTGTTGATGTGACATGTCCACTCGCCACCCAGTCTGTTGATGTGACATGTCCACTCCCCACCCAATTTGTTGATGTGACATGTCCACTCCCCACCCAGTCTGTTGATGTGACATGTCCACTCCCCACCCAGTCTGTTGATGTGACATGTCCACTCCCCACCCAGTCTGTTGATGTGACATGTCCACTCCCCACCCAGTCTGTTGATGTGACATGTCCACTCCCCAGTCTGTTGATGTGACATGTCCACTCCCCACCCAGTCTGTTAATGTGACATGTCCACTCCCCACCCAGTCTGTTAATGTGACATGTCCACTCCCCAGTCTGTTGATGTGACATGTCCACTCCCCACCCAGTCTGTTGATGTGACATGTCCACTCCCCACCCAGTCTGTTGATGTGACATGTCCACTCCCCACCCAGTCTGTTAATGTGACATGTCCACTCCCCAGTCTGTTGATGTGACATGTCCACTCCCCACCCAGTCTGTTGATGTGACATGTCCACTCCCCAGTCTGTTGTGACATGTCCACTCCCCAGTCTGTTAATGTGACATGTCCACTCACCAGTCTGTTGATGTGACATGTCCACTCCCCAGTCTGTTGATGTGACATGTCCACTCCCCAGTCTGTTGATGTGACATGTCCACTCCCCACCCAGTCTGTTGATGTGACATGTCCACTCCCCAGTCTGTTGATGTGACATGTCCACTCCCCAGTCTGTTGATGTGACATGTCCACTCCCCAGTCTGTTAATGTGACATGTCCACTCCCCAGTCTGTTAATGTGACATGTCCACTCCCCAGTCTGTTAATGTGACATGTCCACTCCCCAGTCTGTTGATGTGACATGTCCACTCCCCAGTCTGTTGATGTGACATGTCCACTCCCCAGTTTGTGACATGTCCACTCCCCACCCAGTCTGTTGATGTGACATGTCCACTCCCCAGTCTGTTGATGTGACATGTCCACTCCCCACCCAGTCTGTTGATGTGACATGTCCACTCCCCACCCAGTCTGTTAATGTGACATGTCCACTCCCCAGTCTGTTGATGTGACATGTCCACTCCCCACCCAGTCTGTTGATGTGACATGTCCACTCCCCAGTCTGTTGATGTGACATGTCCACTCCCCAGTCTGTTGATGTGACATGTCCACTCCCCACCCAGTCTGTTGATGTGACATGTCCACTCCCCACCCAATCTGTTAATGTGACATGTCCACTCCCCACCCAGTCTGTTGATGTGACATGTCCACTCCCAACCCAGTCTGTTAATGTGACATGTCCACTCCCCAGTCTGTTGATGTGACATGTCCACTCCCCAGTCTGTTGATGTGACATGTCCACTCCCCACCCAGTCTGTTGATGTGACATGTCCACTCCCCACCCAATCTGTTAATGTGACATGTCCACTCCCCACCCAGTCTGTTGATGTGACATGTCCACTCCCAACCCAGTCTGTTAATGTGACATGTCCACTCCCCAGTCTGTTGATGTGACATGTCCACTCCACACCCAGTCTGTTGATGTGACATGTCCACTCCCCAGTCTGTTGATGTGACATGTCCCCTCCCCAGTCTGTTGATGTGACATGTCCACTCCCCACCCAGTCTGTTGATGTGACATGTCCACTCCCCACCCAGTCTGTTGATGTGGCATGTCCACTCCCCACCCAGTCTGTTGATGTGACATGTCCACTCCCCAGTCTGTTGATGTGACATGTCCACTCCCCACCCAGTCTGTTGATGTGACATGTCCACTCCCCACCCAGTCTGTTGATGTGACATGTCCACTCCCCACCCAGTCTGTTGATGTGACATGTCCACTCCCCACCCAGTCTGTTGATGTGACATGTCCACTCCCCACCCAGTCTGTTGATGTGACATGTCCACTCCCCAGTCTGTTGATGTGACATGTCCACTCCCCACCCAGTCTGTTGATGTGACATGTCCACTCCCCACCCAGTCTGTTAATGTGACATGTCCACTCCCCACCCAGTCTGTTAATGTGACATGTCCACTCCCCAGTCTGTTGATGTGACATGTCCACTCCCCAGTCTGTTGATGTGACATGTCCACTCCCCAGTCTGTTAATGTGACATGTCCACTCCCCAGTCTGTTAATGTGACATGTCCACTCCCCACCCAATCTGTTGATGTGACATGTCCACTCCCCAGTCTGTTGATGTGACATGTCCACTCCCCACCCAGTCTGTTGATGTGACATGTCCACTCCCCACCCAGTCTGTTGATGTGACATGTCCAGAGCCGGCGTTAGGGGGTGGCAAACGGGGCGGTCGCCCCAGGCCCCGCGCTTGAAGGGGCCCCGCGCTTCAGCAACGCCATTGTTGCCTGAATTAGTTTGTAAACTTAAATAATCTTTGCTGAATAAAATAATAAAAAAAAAACAACTAACTGGCCGAAATTGTTGGATGTTAAAACTGAGGCCACGGCTGATGTTAGTGAGTTATCCTCTACATGGACTGGGACAGACCGTTATTCTAAAGAAAGACATTAGTGTCACACATCGCTGGCACGGTCGACTCGCTATTGTCCTGAGGTGACTGGAGATGGCGGTCGCGAATTAGCCCCCGACCTGACATGGGAGGTAAAATCGGGAGAAACGTAAACAGATACCCCTATTGTTTGCGGACCGTTGAAGACGTTTTTTTAGTGAGCAGGCGAGGGTGCTTGTAGTAAACAGTCAGTGACCTGATGATGGCTTGCAGAGGAGGAGGGGGGGGGGGGGGAGAGCGGATGGGGGCATGCCCCTTCCCGGGAAAAAAATTGCAAATTTTTGATTTGCACCCCCCCTCAAACTTTCAAAACTTGCACCCCCCTCCTCAAACTTTCGATTTGCACCCCGCTCAAGTTTTCGATTTGCACCCCGTTCAAGTTTTCGATTTGCACCCCCCCCCCCCTCAAACTTTCGATTTGCACCCCCTCAAGTTTTTCTCTATATATTTTGCTATTTTTTGCCTTGGTGTCACCCCCGTAAATGGACCTTCTCTTGTGAGAACGCGGTCTTAATCTGTAATGTAATACGCGGACGCTCTATAAACACGCACCTTCTCTTGAATGGCTGCGGTCAGAGATCCAGTAACGCAGTACCCGAACTGATTTTTTTAGGGTTTGGCATCCCATAGATTTAAATGTACAGTTATCCTTCACCTCACCCCACCAACTGTCACCCCTCCCCCCCCCCCAGTGTTCCACCTTACTGAGCGTCCGTGATTACATTTGAGAGTCATTTCATTTGGATATCTATAGCCGTAAACAGTGTTTTTCACGATTCGAGTTTATTCCGAAATCTATCAATGTTTTGCTATTTTCCCCGGCATCCACACACTTTGAATGCCACTGTTAACACACGATAAATTGAGAAAATATCGATACTATTACCCGCCACTGTGGACCGATTTAACGTTGCTTCAAAGTGATTTCACCAATTTTCCTCTACACCATGGCTACAAGAGACAGAGATAGATTTCGCAAGTATGAATCAGGTGCATCAAAAGCGAGGATAGAAAAATAGAAAAAGACAGCCTCCAGAATCGACTTTGATGATATAATAATGGAATTTTCCTCACGAAAGGCAAGAAAATTAGATCTTCGTTTGTGAAAGTACTGGTAAGATTTTCATAAATAAACATAAATGTAAAAAAAAAATCAGGTTTGAAGCAGACGTTCATCGTCTCTTTAATGCGTGTCTCAAACTTATATATGTTTTATTTTTTACTTTTCAAACAAAAGGCCTTAACAGAAACAAGCAACGTTTCAAAAGCACTTCTAAGTAAACAAATTGTTTGTTAATCAGTGTCTTAATGTTAATACGACATTGATAAGCAGCTTAAAAATACCATATATATCGTTTTAATATTAATTCGCGTTGAGAAGAAAAAAAAAAACGCCTCACTGTACATGTTTTATTTAATTATGCACCAATGAAAAAAAAATAAGGCCCCGCGCGGATGGTTGGCCATAGGCCCCGCGTACCCCTAACGCCGGCTCTAGACATGTCCACTCCCCAGTCTGTTGATGTGACATGTCCACTCCCCAGTCTGTTGATGTGACATGTCCACTCCCCAGTCTGTTGATGTGACATGTCCACTCCCCAGTCTGTTGATGTGACATGTCCACTCCCCAGTCTGTTAATGTAACATGTCCACTCCCCACCCAATCTGTCAATGTGACATGTCCACTCCCCAGTCTGTTGATGTGACATGTCCACTCCCCACCCAGTCTGTTAATGTGACATGTCCACTCCCCAGTCTGTTAATGTGACATGTCCACTCCCCAGTCTGTTAATGTGACATGTCCACTCCCCAGTCTGTTGATGTGACATGTCCACTCCCCACCCAATCTGTCAATGTGACATGTCCACTCCCCAGTCTGTTAATGTGACATGTCCACTCCCCACCCAGTCTGTTAATGTGACATGTCCACTCCCCAGTCTGTTAATGTGACATGTCCACTCCCCAGTCTGTGTATTGGCAGTGTGATATGCCTGAGTGTGATCACAACCTTCAGCCTGGCAGTCAATGCACTGCTCACCTACTACACAATGCGCATGAGGCTGCAGCACCGAGTGGCCCTGAAGCACAAGGTGAGGCTGGCCATCAAGCGAACCATGGCCCAGGTCAAGTCCTACAACCACAACACTGAGAACGATGATGAAGATGAGGAATTCCTCCCCTCCCACAGAGCCATGGAGGAGGAAGAAGAAGAGTTGACAGGATCTGGGGAAGAGGAACATGATAGTTTTTTGACCCCATCTAAAAGGGCAGCATCCAGGTGAAACACACCTTGTTACATTTGTTGAAATGCCAATATTTACTTCCCATCATTCCAAACGTGTATGCAATCATTACAATGATTTATGCAATGATCATTTTAGGGGCAGATCAAATTATTTTAGAACCATGATATTTCAGTGGCTTCTGTGTTCTGGAGATATTGGCTGTGGTTCCTGGTTAACCCTAGATTGTGTAAAGTATAGCTGGGTAAATGGTGGAAAATATTGGCAAACACTGGTCCTGCCACCACAAACACTATCTGGTCCTACCACCACATCTGGTCCTGTCACCACAAACACTATCTGGTCCTGTCACCACAAACACTATCTGGTCCTGTCACCACATCTGGTCCTACCACCACAAACACTATCTGGTCCTGTCACCACATCTGGTCCTGCCACCACAAACACTATCTGGTCCTACCACCACAAACACTATCTGGTCCTGCCACCACAAACACTATCTGGTCCTACCACCACAAACACTATCTGGTCCTGCCACCACATCTGGTCCTGACACCACAAACACTATCTGGTCCTACCACCACATCTGGTCCTACCACCACAAACACTATCTGGTCCTGTCAACACTATCTGGTCCTGTCACCACATCTGGTCCTGCCACCACAAACACTATCTGGTCCTGTCACCACAAACACTATCTGGTCCTGTCACCACATCTGGTCCTGCCACCACAAACACTATCTGGTCCTGTCACCACATCTGGTCCTGCCACCACAAACACTATCTGGTCCTGTCACCACAAACACTATCTGGTCCTGTCACCACAAACACTATCTGGTCCTGTCACCACATCTGGTCCTGCCACCACAAACACTATCTGGTCCTGTCACCACAAACACTATCTGGTCCTACCACCACAAACACTATCTGGTCCTGCCACCACATCTGGTCCTGTCACCACAAACACTATCTGGTCCTACCACCACATCTGGTCCTACCACCACAAACACTATCTGGTCCTGTCAACACTATCTGGTCCTGTCAACACTATCTGGTCCTGTCACCACATCTGGTCCTGCCACCACAAACACTATCTGGTCCTGTCACCACAAACACTATCTGGTCCTACCACCACAAACACTATCTGGTCCTGCCACCACAAACACTATCTGGTCCTGTCACCACATCTGGTCCTGCCACCACAAACACTATCTGGTCCTGTCACCACAAACACTATCTGGTCCTGTCACCACAAACACTATCTGGTCCTGTCACCACATCTGGTCCTGTCACCATATCTGGTCCTGCCACCACAAACACTATCTGGTCCTGTCACCACATCTGGTCCTGCCACCACAAACACTATCTGGTCCTGTCACCACATCTGGTCCTGTCACCACAAACACTATCTGGTCCTGTCACCACAAACACTATCTGGTCCTGTCACCACATCTGGTCCTGTCACCACATCTGGTCCTGTCACCACAAACACTATCTGGTCCTGTCACCACAAACACTATCTGGTCCTGTCACCACATCTGGTCCTGTCACCACATCTGGTCCTGTCACCACAAACACTATCTGGTCCTGTCACCACAAACACTATCTGGTCCTGTCACCACAAACACTATCTGGTCCTGTCACCACAAACACTATCTGGTCCTGTCACCACATCTGGTCCTGTCACCACAAACACTATCTGGTCCTGTCAACACAAACACTATCTGGTCCTGTCACCACATCTGGTCCTGTCACCACAAACACTATCTGGTCCTGTCACCACATCTGGTCCTACCACCACTTCTGGTCCTACCACCACAAACACTTTCTGGTCCTGTCACCACAAACACTATCTGGTCCTGTCACCACAAACACTATCTGGTCCTGTCACCACAAACACTATCTGGTCCTGTCACCACAAATACTATCTGGTCCTGTCACCACAAACACTATCTGGTCCTGTTACCACATCTGGTCCTGTCACCACATCTGGTCCTGTCACCACAAACACTATCTGGTCCTGTCACCACAAACACTATCTGGTCCTACCACCACATCTGGTCCTACCACCACAAACACTATCTGGTCCTGTCAACACTATCTGGTCCTGTCACCACAAACACTATCTGGTCCTGTCACCACAAACACTATCTGGTCCTGTCACCACATCTGGTCCTGCCACCACAAACACTATCTGGTCCTGTCACCACAAACACTATCTGGTCCTGTCACCACAAACACTATCTGGTCCTGTCACCACAAACACTATCTGGTCCTGTCACCACATCTGGTCCTGTCACCACAAACACTATCTGGTCCTGTCACCACATCTGGTCCTGTCACCACATCTGGTCCTGTCACCACATCTGGTCCTGCCACCACAAACACTATCTGGTCCTGTCACCACAAACACTATCTGGTCCTGTCACCACATCTGGTCCTGTCACCACAAACACTATCTGGTCCTGTCACCACATCTGGTCCTGTCACCACATCTGGTCCTGCCACCACAAACACTATCTGGTCCTGTCACCACATCTGGTCCTGTCACCACAAACACTATCTGGTCCTGTCACCACATCTGGTCCTGCCACCACAAACACTATCTGGTCCTGCCACCACAAACACTATCTGGTCCTGCCACCACAAACACTATCTGGTCCTGTCACCACAAACACTATCTGGTCCTGTTACCACATCTGGTCCTGTCACCACATCTGGTCCTGTCACCACATCTGGTCCTGTCACCACATCTGGTCCTGTCACCACATCTGGTCCTGCCACCACATCTGGTCCTGCCACCACAAACACTATCTGGTCCTGTCACCACAAACACTATCTGGTCCTGTTACCACATCTGGTCCTGTCAACACTATCTGGTCCTGCCACCACAAACACTATCTGGTCCTGTCACCACATCTGGTCCTACCACCACAAACACTCTGGTCCTGTCACCACATCTGGTCCTGTCACCACATCTGGTCCTGCCACCACAAACACTATCTGGTCCTGTCACCACATCTGGTCCTACCACCACAAACACTCTGGTCCTGTCACCACAAACACTATCTGGTCCTGTCACCACATCTGGTCCTGTCACCACATTTGGTCCTGTCACCACAAACACTATCTGGTCCTGCCACCACATTTGGTCCTGTCACCACAAACACTATCTGGTCCTGCCACCACAAACACTATCTGGTCCTGCCACCACAAACACTATCTGGTCCTGCCACCACATTTGGTCCTGTCACCACATCTGGTCCTGTCACCACAAACACTATCTGGTCCTGTCACCACATCTGGTCCTGCCACCACAAACACTATCTGGTCCTGTCACCACAAACACTATCTGGTCCTGCCACCACAAACACCATCTGGTCCTGCCACCACAAACACTATCTGGTCCTGTCACCACATCTGGTCCTGTCACCACAAACACCATCTGGTCCTGCCACCACAAACACTATCTGGTCCTGTCACCACATTTGGTCCTGTCACCACATCTGGTCCTGTCACCACATCTGGTCCTGTCACCACAAACACTATCTGGTCCTGTCACCACATCTGGTCCTGTCACCACAAACACTATCTGGTCCTGTCACCACATCTGGTCCTGTTACCACAAACACTATCTGGTCCTGTCACCACATCTGGTCCTGTCACCACAAACACTATCTGGTCCTGTCACCACATCTGGTCCTGCCACCACAAACACTATCTGGTCCTGTCACCACATCTGGTCCTGTCACCACAAACACTATCTGGTCCTGTCACCACATCTGGTCCTGCCACCACAAACACTATCTGGTCCTGCCACCACAAACACTATCTGGTCCTGCCACCACAAACACTATCTGGTCCTGTCACCACATCTGGTCCTGTCACCACATCTGGTCCTGTCACCACATCTGGTCCTGCCACCACATCTGGTCCTGCCACCACAAACACTATCTGGTCCTGTCACCACAAACACTATCTGGTCCTGTTACCACATCTGGTCCTGTCAACACTATCTGGTCCTGCCACCACAAACACTATCTGGTCCTGTCACCACATCTGGTCCTACCACCACAAACACTATCTGGTCCTGTCACCACATCTGGTCCTGTCACCACATCTGGTCCTGCCACCACAAACACTATCTGGTCCTGCCACCACAAACACCATCTGGTCCTGCCACCACAAACACTATCTGGTCCTGTCACCACATCTGGTCCTGTCACCACAAACACCATCTGGTCCTGCCACCACAAACACTATCTGGTCCTGTCACCACAAACACTATCTGGTCCTGTCACCACATCTGGTCCTGCCACCAAAAACACTATCTGGTCCTGTCACCACATTTGGTCCTGTCACCACATCTGGTCCTGTCACCACATCTGGTCCTGCCACCACATCTGGTCCTGTCACCACAAACACTATCTGGTCCTGCCACCACATCTGGTCCTGTCACCACAAACACTATCTGGTCCTGCCACCACAAACACTATCTGGTCCTACCACCACAAACACTATCTGGTCCTGTCACCACATTTGGTCCTGCCACCACAAACACTATCTGGTCCTGCCACCACAAACACTATCTGGTCCTGTCACCACATTTGGTCCTGTCACCACAAACACTATCTGGTCCTACCACCACAAACACTATCTGGTCCTGTCACCAATTGGTTCATAGATTTGTATGGGACATGGTTTCATTTCTTTAAGACTTTGTCAAATTATGTATAAATTTGAAAAAACAATGTGTATATCAACACATCTCATGGCTGTGAAATGAATAGATTTTTTATATCCACTAATCTGACAGGTACTGAAATCCTGGATTTTTTTCTATCAGCATGTAATCTGATTTTTTTTTCTATCACTATGTAATCTTTTTATTCTATGTACAAGCATTAAAATGTAAATGTATGGGCATCTATAGCAGATGAACTCAATGGCATTGTCCTGATAATAGTTCCATGTAGGAGTCTGGTGGAGCCAGTCATTACATTCTTACAAATACTCAACTTTGGTGTGTTTGCCAATGCTTAGGTTTTTGTGCTGCAAGAATATACTGCAGACATTGTCTTGCAAAATCCTAAGTATGAAAACATGTTTGTTAATTATTTTAATAACTTTATTTATTTGAAAAGATGTTTGCTCAATATATCTGCAAAGATTTTCTTCTGTAATTGTGTTTTATAAAAAGAAAATTATATTGACTTATCAGGAAGATTTTTATTTAGTGAATGTGTCAGGGGAAGGTACTCCATGTATTTTAGACCCAAGTAAACACAACCATAGCTGTGCACTATATGGTTGATGTAACTTGCTGTTTAAGTTGACTAAGATTCATGACTATAATTCCTTTTTCTGTGTGGATCATTATG